CTGTTCGTGTTTGATTCGTTTAACTAATCGAATGAAAAAAAAAAATTTCACGTTCGTCTCATTTGCTTATTGAACGAAACGAACACGGACTCATTGACTATCTGAGCACGAACTGTTCGCGAACAACGATCTTTTTTGACAGCCCTAGTCATCGCTTAAAATTTGATTGCTATGCATTCTATAGTTATTTAATAAAAATATATTTTTTATTATTTAAAAAATATATGTGGCATATCAAATGGAACTTGGAGCATATGTATCAAGCAGAAAGATTGCAATAGGAAATTTTAGGTGTTAGATATGTAACTACGTTGGATTTGAGTGTTATTTATGTAAATCTTTCAATATTTATACCATAATATATTTGTTTAATTTTAAGACCCAATAAAAGTGCCAATTTTTGGCCTAATTTTTCAGTGTGTACTCTTGACGTAGTTCTATGTGTCGCGGATGTTATTTTTGAGTTATTTTCAGGTTATTTCTGAATTATGTCCGAACGGATGTTATTTTTGAGTTATTTTCAGGTTATTTCTGGATTATGTCCGAACTTCAGGTTATTTTCAATAATCCCGAAATAACCCAGAAATAACCCGTGGTCTTTATTTTTGGGTTATTTCCAGGTTATTAGAAATAACCTGAAAATAACTCAGTAATAATCTGCGTGGCACGTAGAGCTACGTCAGGAGTCCGGACAGAAAATGCGCTCCAATTTCTGACACCATGGGGTCATTGGGTGGAGCTTTTATTGCGTACGGATATCAGATGTAAATTTGTGTCCGGTGTCCAATCATGACCACTAAAATACACTTTTTTGGTTTTTTTATTTTATAGTGGGTCCACTCACAATTTTTTGACTGTTTAGATCGGACACCGGACACAAATTTGAGTCCGATGCCCGTACACAATAAAAAATCAATTGGCTGCAGCCTGAATTTAATTTTAAATAAAATTCAGTAAGGCTTATAAATTCGAATTAAAAGATTAGATAGTTTAATCCAAAAAAAATCAGTATATATTGAATTTAATTAAATCTTAATAAACTATTTAACAACTATTTTAAATTTTAAATACTAAATAAAAATTAGATCTAAAAATTGTAAATATGATTTCTCCAAGATTTAAAAAAGAATTTTTACAGATATGAAAGCTTTTATTTTTCAGTATAAACAGTTTATCCTAAAAAGAGTCCACGAGTTGACCGCGAGGTTATACCCGTGACCTACATTTAATGTAAAAATGAAACCGTATTTTTGGATAAACAAACAAAATACAAGATTCAAACGGTAACACGAAGTTCTCAAAAAAAAAACTCAAAGGAGCCCTAAGATATTTAAATAAAACTGTTAATACTTCCTGAGACAGAGAAATCGGCGTTTCTCCTGAAGAAAGAAATGAGGGAGTTCCGTTTCTTCCTTTCCTTGTCTTTTTAATTTATTTTAAAAAATTCGAAATATGGAGATCGGCAAATGGCCATGGGAGCCAGCGGCTGTTAAATAGGAAGCACCTAACTATGAACTCATTCAAAGCTCCCAACTGCTTCGTCCCTCTCGTTGTTCATTCCCACCTTTATAGGCGACCACCTCTAGGGTTTTTCCTCATCCCACCACGCTTCTTCTCAGGTGCAGACCATCTTTTACCCTTCCTTCCCTTCCCATTTGGTTTCCAAAAATCAATTTTGTTGCTGATGTTCAGGAGTCTGTGCATCAGTTTTGTTTTGTTTGTTTTTTTTGTCTTCGATGCAGCGGTTTTGATTCTTATGACCATCATTTGGAGCTTTGTCTCCTGTTTGCTTGTTAATGAACTGTGTTTTCTGATTTTGGTATAAAAATTTTTTTTTTTTTGATTGTTGGGCAGGATTATCAGCTAATACATTCATGGATGTTGTCAAAGCGACTCTTAAGAGAGCTTCTATGGCTCATGATAGTGTGGCTATAAGAGCGGAAAATAATAGCTACAGCTTTGCTCAGATTGTTTCATCTGCATGGAGCATCTGCAATCATTTGTGCAGTGGGAATTTTAAAAATGTAAGCGGTTATGTTTACTCTGTAATTGAGTAAAAGTATCAAAATTAATTAAAAAGCTTGTTATGGGTGAAGGTTCTTTTCATAATCTTTATGTGCTTTCATCATGGGAATATCAGCCTGTTCATGGTTATCCCTTTAGTCTTCCACAACTTGTAAGAATTTCTTAATGTGTAATTATGCATACTTGCGCATGATTATGGTGGACTTTAAGATCAAATTACACTGCCTAGCCATGGAAAAGGACAATTGTGGACCAACATCATTCAAAAGAATAATAAAATCAGCAAGAACCAAAAAACCTGAATCTGATAAGTTCAGCTTATTGCATATACTTTTACTGGTGATGCACGCCAAGGATTATTTTGCTTCAAAAATCTATTTTTACCCCTCAATATCCTTTTTACAATTTGAGTTGTAATTTATAAATTTTCTTATTTATGATGAAACATTTATGCTTCTCCTGTTAAGTACTGTTTCTTATTCGGTAAAAATGAACTCATATGATGGTTGACTGTTAAAAATTGCAAAATTATTCATTTTTTGTTTGTTCTTGAATTTCAAAGTATGATTTAGTTCCTTTATTCAGTATTTATGCCTTCATTGCATTCACTAACAACTGCTTATCATCACATGTAGAATATTGAGGAGTGTAAATACGAAACTTCTGTTCAGTCCAACAATAAATCAGAAAATCTTCATGGAGCACGCATAGGGATTGTAGCTAAGCCTTCTGCTGAATTTGTTGCTGGGGTTCTTGGCACTTGGCTTAGTGGTGGAGTTGCAGTTCCACTTGCACTGAGCTATCCTGAGGCAGAGCTCTTACATGTGATGAATGATTCAGTATGTTTATCTTTTCCTATTTTCACTTTTTACTCTTTTTGGTTGCCACATTTGAAAAATTATAGGTTATCGTAAGAACATCTTTCTAGTTTTTCTGATATTTTCATACAGAGACAATGATGCATATACGCTGTTTTCTTCCGGGCAGATTGACTGTAAAGATTCTAAAATGAGAGTTTGTGCACCATACTTGAGTTGGCAGATACTAAGTTACACACAATTCCCTAAAATTTTAGGAATTTCTTTAATTTTTACATTGTCAATTTATTGAAGCATAACATTATTGATTCTTTGGAAATAAACTTGCCATCGTTAGTCTGTGAACTTAAATTTGTGTGTGACTGCACTTTATGTTTTGTGCTTGACCTGCTTGAATATGTAATATGCACATTCATCCAGTGCATTCTCTTTATTTTGTTTTTTTTTTTAATTGAAATTCAGCCATTCATTTTTTGTTTCCACTTTATGCAGTTCTAACGATCCCAGTTGTTTATTTTTTTGATTTAACGGTTCTTTTTGGTTGTTTTAAAATAAAATTAACCAAATCTGGGATGAGTATGTGGTTCTATATTCCTAATGTTGACCATTTTCTATAGCGTTAAAGAATATGGAAACCATTGTAAAGGCTGGTTTTGGCTTAGTCAAATTGATCTTCTACTCTATTTCTATTTACTGAATTGTATATCTCATTGCAACTTAATTACATCAAACTTTCTGACTTGAATGGATGTCATGAACTTTTGTGGCCGCTGCAAATCTTGACAGTGCAACTACTAGGCTTTCATTTTGCACTTAATATCATAATCTGAGAAGTTGCACTGGATAAGTTAAATCATCAAACTATGAAACTTTGATGTAATAATTGTATGCCTTGAAATAATTCTGTTGTTCACTTCGATTTAGGTGGTGCATATTTAGAATGAAACAACTGTCACTTTGTCTTCTTTAACCTTTGTCTCAGAACTTAAAGGTGCATATTTAGAATGAAACAACTGTCACTTTGTCCTCTTTAACCTTTGTCTCAGAAGTTTTCATTACTCTCAAGCTTAGATTCTTTGCAAATAGTCAAGATTTTTTTACGTGTTTCATTTACTTACCTCTTTCATTGAATTGGACTGTTGGAGCCAAATGAATGATACATTCATTTTTTTGACTCGAGTTTATAAATCTAAAAATTCTCCTAATTAGATGAGACTTCATTGTCCATTCCGGCCTTGTTTTTTTTTTCTATTTTTTCTATTTTATTTTTTTTAAATCATTTGGGCCTTGTTGTGCACAGCATGATGCGCAATGAATGAGCAATGCTGATTTCATTTATTTCTTGTCTGTAGGTAAAATTTTTGTTATAAGGTTCTTCATATTTGACAAGAAGCTTACTCCATGAAATGTATTGGAGATTGAGAATGTAAAGTAGTAATAATAAAAATAAATTATTTATTCTTTGATCAATCGTTGAATGAGAGTTCCATTTTTATTATAATAAAAATGACGATAATCCATAATCTAATTTAAATTGATAAAATTATTTTTTGATTATGATAGATTAGCTGTCCTTTCATATGATTTTAAACATCAAATACAAATTCATTAAATTAAATTTCTAAATATTAATTTTTTCTATATATGTTAAACATTTACATATGTTTGAATATAAATAAAATATCCTTAATAATAACTATTAGGAGTCTATAGTATCGACAAACTTATGACATTGATAATATCATGGCAAATCTTTGAACAACATTTGAATCAGTTTTTAAAAAAATAATATTATATGTTTGTTTTTTTAAAAAATCAGTATGTCATCATTATCATATAATAATATTTAATCAGCATGTCATCATTTGTACTATATGGGTTTATCTTCTTGTTGCCACTTAATGTATTCTATACATCATAATTTTATGTTGCATGGAGTTATTTTTTTTGTTGTGGCATAATCTGATTTGAATATTCTTATGCTACAATGATAGAGAAATGGATGTAGAGCCTCCTAAACATCAACTATTTCAGTCTTTGAATATAGTATTCATTTACCTAGGTCTCTTATGATGCACTTGAGTGAGTTTATGTTTGAGTGGCTTTTATGTATGGTGAGAATGTGACGACTTTTTTTTTTTGAATATTTTTTATGTTTTTTGGCCATTTTGGTTCATAAGTGACGCAGGAGCTCTCTGCTCCACATAATGTCGCAAAAAGGCTAGATCTCACAGTCCCGTCAAAATTCGCGAAATGAAAACCTCGCTTCCTGCAATCTCACCACGTAATGTCGTGCAAAGGTGGAATGCCACAATCTTGTCGAATTCCTTAGTGGGAATTCTGAATCCTGCAATCACAAGGAAGTCAGTTATGTTGGGTCGTCGTTCCATTATTTAATTCAACCCAATTTATTTCCTTTCTGATTTCTTTTCTATTTGTTTATTTTTAATTATGTCATATTCTATGAGGAATTATTTATAACTTGTATTTTCCTGTTTTTTAGACTTATGTTTTGTTTTAAGTATTATGGAGATTTTAATATTTGATTTCTAGGTTTATGAGTGTTGTATCCTCTTCTTTTTGCACGTGGTGTGTTTGTATCTTGCTCAGGAATAGGTGGTGAACCTCATTGTTGCCAGTACCTCGTCGTTTTGCGGTTTTTCTCTCTGTTTTCACAGGAACAACCACCGAACGACGGCTATCCTCATCTAAATGTCGTAGAACTTGCATAATTTATTCCCTCTCTATTCCACTACATATTTCCCATTAAATTTACTTCTCAAACACCTTTTATGAGCCCTAAAACGGTATCATCCGGTGTCAGTGCTAGACAATTCCTAGATTTATAAAGTTTTGTCTTTTTGTCCCAAACCAAAATTTTAAATTTTACTACCACCCCACACCATCCACCTATCCCTAACCCTACCGTAAATCATTTTTTTCTTTTTCACCAAAAACTTGATCGTTAGAAAAGAACATAATGGTACCTAAGAAAAATCCTTAAAGAAGTGTCCAAGAGCTCACTGTAGAGTACATGCATGAGAAATCATTCAATTAAAACTGAAGCTTTGCACCTTAGAGAGGAGACAATTATATGAGATTATCCATAGTCACAACAATGACTCACCAGTTTGAGAGGAGGAAGTAAATCTCGTTCACAAGACAATTTCTAATGATGGAGAGCCAATACTCCGATGATGTAGCATGGAGTATTAGAGAAGTCAGGATCTTGGAGTAAAGGTGAATTTTTAAAATTTTGACTGTCTCATGGATTCAGATGAGTTTATCGACTGACTCTAAATAATGAAACAAATTTTTTAGTACAAAGATGTTAGAAGTTATATTAGGAAATAATTTATTCTTGTGAGAAGTTATGAATAATAAATTATTTTCTCAGATGAAAGAGTTATTTCCTTTGATTAAAAATTATTTTCTTTCCTATTTTAGGAGAGAATGATGCTCCTCATACTCTGGGAGAATGATGTTGGAGCTCTCCGCTCCACGGAAGACTAGAAAGACAGGATCTCTTTAGTAGCAGTCCCTAGTGTTTCTTTATGTATGCTTATGGTTTGATTGAAGACTCAAAGTATTAATGCCATATCAGGTATATATGATCACACAAAATTTCGCACCAACAGTGGCCTACAACGGCCATTACAAAGCCAAAAAAATGAGAAGAAACTGCTGAAACTGCTATAGAAATAAAGAAATTTGTAGTGTTAATCAACATAAAACAAACAACAGAGAGCAGGAATAACAACAGGAAATAATGCACTTCAGCATTTCTGAGAAAATAATAAGGTACAATGGCAAAATCACCACATGAGAGCCACCCCAGGATACAACCATAGGAAGGCAAAGCCAACCTTCAGGAAAAACTAGAAACTATTCAAAACCTCCCTCCCCCCAAACAGTATGCAAGTCTTTTATATAAGCTAAGTCCCTTCCATATTACAAGCATGCCATCCTAAAACATAAAGAAATAAATAACAAACTAAAACACATAAACAGAATAAAACTCTAGCTCCCGCGTCATTCTTCTGGGGGTGGCAAGGTTCGCTCATATTGAATAATTTTAGAATCTGATTCATAATTAGTAGCCAACTCAGAGATATTGAAAGGGGTAGAGTCGCTATAATTTTTAGGTAGGTAAAGTTCATTGATCTAAGAATCTTCAAACATTGTCACAGTTGAACTGGTTCAAGGGGTTTCCAACTCTAATTTTGAAGTATGTCTTTCAACTTGACATAGATTACTTGCGAACCAGGACTAATATGTGTAGTTCTTACTGGAAGATATTCAACTTGACTCGTATCAGAGCTAGAATGCAATGAATAAGCTTTCAAGCTTTGTTGCTAAAATGGATAGTAAGTTGTTATATGACCAAATCTTGAAGCAACATTTTCAATTAGCTGAACTAACAGGTTTTCCACAAGGCAGGACTGTAGACTGGGTGTTGCCTTCCTTGTTTTTTGTCAGCTGTTAGCACCTTGGCAAGGCCATATTTGTGACCAAATCTTGAAGCAACATTTTCAATTAGCTGAATCCTTTACTACTTCCATAACAGGTTTTCCACAAGGCAAGACTGTAGACTGGGTGTTGCCTTCCTTCTTTTTTGTCAGCTGTCAGCACCTTGGCAAGGCCATATTTGCTTAAGCCAACATGATCAGCTGTTCATCCTGCAAAGAGGTGTTCCAATTCTATTTTGGCTACCGTTCCACCTTCAAAGCAAGATTAACAACATCCCGAAGTGACCAATAAGGTTGTAGCTGAACTACATTTGCTATAGAAGGCCTCAAATCTCCCATAACTCCTGCAATAGTGTGCTCTTCAGGTTTGGATAGATTTCATTTCAATAGGAGATGTTCAAATTCAGCAACATATTCTTCTATCGCCATCTTCTGTTTATGTAAATGTTAAAGACGGATGAAAACCTTTTGCTGATAGTGATTCGCCAAGAATTTGCATTGCAATTCTTTCTTCATCTTACTTTACATAGAAATATTAGATCACCCTTCTGT